CCCACTGCAATCCGGCGCTTGCTGTTGAGGTCCAAGACTGCCCACTGTGATTTGGAGCTTGCTGTTCAGGTCCGGCTTTGCCCACTGATCTGATGCTTGCTGTTGAGGGAGAAGGAGCGTGAGGAGAAGACTATCTGTAAAGTTCTCACGACCCTCACCTGACAGGTGGAGAAAGATTGAAACACACACACAACACACACACACACACCCACGCACGCACGCACGCACGCACGCACGCACGCACGCACGCACGCACGCACGCAGGCACACACACACACACATTTTTCTGATGGTGCTGACCACTCCACGTCCACCACCTCCACGTAACCAACCACCCCACCACACACTCCCAGGCGCAATCTTCGTGCAAGTCCGGCTGCTCTCGCTGCACACGGTGAATGACGGCTGGGCACGGATACCCGGGAGAGCGACGAGCGACTGACCGGTCGGTCGGTGTGACAAGGAACCGGTCACTGTCAGGGGATCTCAGCGCGGATGCAGGGGTCGGAGTAATAGAACGGGTGTGTGTTGTTGTTTTTTTCATGTCTCCGATCGTCAACTGAGTCAACCTGGTATGGAGATGTAGAAGAAAGTGGTTTCGGCTGTAATATCGTAAACCTGTCACGGCCATACCTGTTGGCTCAACTCCTGTTTTTGAGATGGGGGGTCGATGTAAACCACCAAATTCGGAGGATTGGGTCATCTACTCTCAATCCGGGACGTATATAAAGCTATCCTCATCGACCACCCAGTGGTTTTCGGGGTCCATGTGGTGCTCTTCGAGATGTACACCAGCCTTTTGCATATGTGAATCCACAGGGCCTGCAGCTTAAGGGAGAGGAGGAACATTACAACATGTCGACAAAGAGTCGGCTGATACCCCATGATCGAAGGAAGGCCGGATGGACTTGCAGAGGGTTTGTCCGGAGGAGAACTGAAAACAAAGCCCTGGCGAACCCTAGTTTTTCCTAAGACTTGAAGTCGTTGACCTAATTAGCTGCCTGGTTACTTACGTTTTGGTGAGTTCGAACATTGCGTGTTTTAAACTCACGTTTCGTGCCGTACGTTCCCACGTTTTGGAACTGAGATGCGTTTTTGGAACTTCCTCATGAACAGAAAAAGAAAATCCTTTGGACACAGAAATGTCCTAAAGGCATGTTCAAGAGCCAGAACAATGCATCCAGTAGCACCCCATAGCTTGGACACAAACAATTCTCGAATGCATTTCCAAGAGTGAGAGAAAAGCATCCAGCAGTGCCCCATAGGTTCTTTTTCTGCATTTCCGCAAAGTGGACCTCCAGACCACATAGATGCATTTAGCCAAGGACTGTAGATGCATATAGGTATCTGGATGGGGCCTGGATTTTGGGAGGGGGCTGTACGTTTTGGATTACATGCACGTGCGGAACCTTACGTTTTACGTCTTGCGTACCGGGGCGATGATATTGAACATATTAGGAGCATTCCTCGTGTTTGCTTTTAAATGTGTTCAGTTAATATATAGACATAGACATTAGTCTTGGAAGTAGATGTTTACTTGCCTGTGAGGCCATGATCTTCGCGGGGGTGTGGGTGATCTTTCTCATCGGCTTCATCATGGTGCCGCGGTCGAAGTGGCTGTGGGTCGGAAGGTTCAAAACCATGAGTGAGGTCGACCAGGGACCAGCAGACATGTTGTCTCTTTGTCGAAGGCACTCTTGGCAGGTCATCTTGCAGTGAAAAAGATGGGCAAATCCCCCAACTCAGATGGACCCCGCGGCCCACAGACCAACATGCACCGTGAGAATAACCTCTTCCTCTGCAGATCCAGGGGTTTTGGGGGGATCCATGTTCGATTCAGCGGCCGAAGCTGCCCGTTTTCTCCGTCCCTTCGATCGTTTCTCACCCTTCCGAAAGTCGGAGTCACCTGAGCCCCTTTGACCTTCGCGATCCCATGGGCCTGTGTACTCCAATTTTTATATGGGAACAAAGTCTTCAAATTTGGTGCAAGTCTTTGGGAACATGAGAGTGTGTTGTTTTTTTTTACATGTCGGAAAAATAGAGAGGTTTTTACACGACTTCAAGTGAAGTCCCACTCATGGCAGTGGTTTTCTCCTTTAAGAACAAGTGCTGTGAAAAAGCAAAGCCACTGTGCCAATGAGGTCCTTTTAGCACAGATCGTGATGGCCTTCTCCAACGGCAAGGCGACCGGGGTCAGCCGTAGACCGAAAGGCGTGGCGTTGGGTGTGGTCAAAACCTGGACTTCCAAAAACCTGTTTCCCAGAACATCCATGTATGGAATATATGCCTCCATTGACCTCTGAAACCACTCCAATGTAGGTAATAGGCCATACATGGATGGTCTGGGTTTGGTTGACTTGAATGGTTCGTCCATTCTGTGGATGGGTACCAAGGTTCGGACACATTACACATGTGTCCGATGTTTCCTCAGAGTTCCGCTCCGTGGTGCAAACATTGGGTTATAGATTCCCAGGCACTGTCCTGGCACCAGTGCTGCGGTCTCCCTCCGCTCGAGGGTGGACGTCTCCCTGTAGGGTGACGTGGGCTGCTTTCAGATCTAGGTCGGTGGTGAAGTATTTGGGCCGGCTGCCAGGTGCCCCCTGGCCCAACGGGGTTTGGGCTTACCTTCCTTCTTTTGAGGGGGTTGAACTGGGAGGTCTCCCTATACTTTTATACACACCCAGGCTTTCGGAGATTGCCCACGCGGTCGTTTTGGCGGGGCCTGCCTCGATTCTATTCTCAGCTCCGGCTTGGAGCTGTTTCTGGGCGAGGCCATGAGCGACCAAACTGCTGGCTGGGTGGTCTCAGATATCTTTACGATCAATTTTTACTTGGCATGTTTTCAACCCACAGGTCCTCATATAGTTCAAGCGAGTTGACGGCCAGCTGGCAGTTGGCACTTGGACTCTTTGAACAGAAACCACTACTTTTGGGCGCTCCGCGTCCCAAAACGGTGGTTTCGAAAGCTCGCCTTTCGCCACGAAACGCATGGTTTCAACGGATAGACCGAGAGCACCTCTCCACTCTCCAAGCACCTCTCCACTCAGCTCTCCACGGATCTTTGTTGGAAGAAAGAGACATGACGGCTCTCCAGCCTTAGTAGCTTCAGGTAATTGGATGTAGTTTCACCCTCCAAAAAAACATATATTATCCATGTATTCCAACCGCAACTGATTCAAAAGAAGCCTCCAAAGAAGCTTGCCTAACACAACTCCCAACTCCCAACTCTGTCCAAGCTCCTTAGAAGGCAGTGAATCCTTAGAAGCCTCGATGTGGAGCCATCGACTAGTCACTCGACATGTCTCAGGCAGCTGCCCATTTCACTCGCTTCTCTACGATCATTCAGTGGGCCATTGTGCCTTGGCCATGCGCTTGGGAATTGGTCAGGTCAGATGAGAAGGCCTGGTCAGGCCCAATTCAACCATTCCGTCCTCAGATCCATAGTTTTTTTTTGAGGTGGTATCCATGCGTAGTTGCTTCTGCAGGTACCAGGTGTGTTGATGGGGGTGGCCGTTGTCCCACCATGTCGCAGAATGCTAGATGTTGCTGTGATCAGGCGTATAATGCAAGCACTATAGCTGCTAGTTGAAGAAGGATTGTTCCACACCACCTCATGATCCCTGACTGAGAACCCCAAGTTCTGCCCGCAACTCCTAAACCATCCATGCATGGAATAGTTATCGACATATATTGACATCAGAATCATAAATGGGTAGTAAGTGTGTGTGTAACTATAGTCAATCTATTCCATGGATGAACTGGGCATTCATTATACCCTAGACGTCCAGTTCGACTATATTTGTTGACCGACTGAAGTAACAGAAGTTCCTTTTCGGGTCGCCGAAAGACCGTTCTTTTAATGGTTTTTGTCTCCCATCTGTTGTTGCCAATTCTCTTGAATCCCCCATTCCCAAAGAAAAGAAAAATAACCAAAACCCCACTCCAATCGGCTGAGGTGCTGATCGGCGTGATCAGTGTGATCCTCATGCTCACCGAACGCTTGGAGATGAGACGTGCCAAAGACCTCGTTGAGGCTGGCGTGGCCTTCTGGGTCTGTGTGTTGGATGGTGAGCATGGGAGAGGTGAGCCTCTCGCGCATGGTGTTCGTGCCGTGGGCGGAGTGCGGCAGGGTGGAACTGGCGGAAATGGATGACCAATTGATCAGGAAGGTCCTGTCAACCGATTTGGTCCATTGATCTCTTGCCGGCCTTTTTTGAAATAAGCCCCTGCAAGGTGATGTTTGACCACCTGATGTGACCTTGGCCACCCACGGCTATAGGTGAAAGGTGTTTAGGAAACATGGAGACTGGCATCGTTCCTTCTTTCCTTTTACTATGCAGACGAGAGGGTAGGACCTGTCACCTTTCCACCAAGATCACCAAACACATGTTGGCCATGGGTCAGCAATCGCTTGGACACCTCTCATGTTGTGGTTTCCCACTTTTCCAGGCCGATCTGATCCGAATGAATGCCGCTGAATCAATCTTGCATGCCTTGGTGGTGTATCAGCTCTTGAACATGCCATAGTTGTTTTCTTCCCGCCTCATTCCTCGCTCCGCCTCCTTCCTCACTTCTCAAACCAACGCCTTCCTCGTGGTCTCCGTCGCGGTCCGTCTTCCTCCCGTCGCGGCTCGGTGATCGCCGTGGGTCGCTGTCGGTCGGCCAGGACTACATGAAAGCAAGGCCCAAGGTCTTGGCGGCAACCATCGAAGACTTCGACATCAGCTGGTGCCCGGACGAATTCGACATGGAGCGAGGGAAGATTGGGCGGGACTGGTGATTGGGCGGAGGGACTGAGCTGAACTGGGACTTGTTTAGAACTAAGAACTTCGCCACCCTTTTGAGTGACTTGTATGACTCAGTTGTGGTTCCCTGGGCCTGGTGGCCCAAGTGTTTTTTCAGTGAATCTTAGTGATTGACATGTGAACAGCTATCCATGGAATCATGGAGGCTTATATGACATCTGATGACCAACCATCTAGGCACCCCTGGGCGCCTCAAACCATGGGAACAGACATGAACAGACGGAGAAGTGTCGAAAAACATCAGACCAAACGGAGGATCTCCAAGGGGTGGTTGGTACTTTAGTCCCTTTGGAACTTGGAACATAGAAAAACCACCGCTTTAGGACTGCTCACTCGAAGGATGTGTGTGTTTTTGTGTGGAGTTTTCTCCAAGTGGACAAACGACAACGACTCGAGGGTATGGTCCAAAATCCTTGTTGCGAGGGGATGGTGGAATTCACAGTGAAAGATGGTGTGACATCGCTTGCGAATGGTTGCAGAAGTCCAAGAAGCGAGAAAAACAATAGCTAAGAAAGGTGAAGCACCATTGATCAGACATGCGTGACATGCGGGACCCTGAGGTTGCGTGGACTTTTCTCACATGGAATTTTGCAGTCTCTCGGGTAATTACCCTGAAAATCAGAGACATCCTTCTTCCAAGGAACAAAACAATCATATGTTGGTGGATCCAGACTTCAAAGCACTACCTTTTCAGCATGGTCATACAGGATAGTTTTAAAGTTTAACAAGCTACGAACCGAGACTCAAGGTAATGAATCATTATATAATAATTGTAATCATTGGTTAACCAATTCTTTTTGGGCCAAGCACTTGGATTGAGGTTCAACTTGCTTCACTTTGTGATCTTCTGGGCAACCCGCGCAGATAGCGGCCTGGCGACTGGCGCACGGCCCAAACGCGGTGGTGCCCGAAGTTGGTGTCGGCCCAAAAGGATCGGAAGAGGAATTTCTTTGGGATGAACCCAAGTCCAACAGTGTGACCGAAGCTGAAAAGGTCAGCAAGACTACAACTCATGGTTCGGGTGGTTCACCTCCCCCTGACGATGGTATGATCCAGAGACCAGCCAGTTCCTGAGTGGTACGACTCACCGGCCGAGCGCTGGTTGGTCGAAAACGAAAGACCACCGAGGACGAGGCGCCAGATGATGAGGAAAGGTTTCGTTCCCTCCAAGACAGGTGGTTCCAACAAAGAACGAGAGAAGAGACTCGTAGATCTAATGGAGAAAAACGACCTGCTACTGATTAGGAGCACTTGTAGTTGTTGTGTTTATTATTTGTTAAACCTTCCTGAAAGTATCATAAAGTATCTACTCTGGGACCTGGATACCACCACGGAACTATTTGCTGATACCGTTGTATATAAAGGTCTGGCATGCATCCCACGCCCTTGGGATCAGTGGAAGGACTTATCTTGGTGTGGACATCACTCGTGGTTCGACTCGTTCGCTTGGTGGGGTGGCTGGAGGTGCTCCAGAGAACAAGTGTAATGTCCAGTGGACATGTTCAACAGGAGAGCATGTTTAACAACTGCAGGTGTCAGTCAAGGAATATATGCCATAGTACAGTTATATTATCTTAGTGAGATGAAACTTACTGATGTCAAAGAATAAAGAACGACATGCAGGTGAAGGGCATTGATAGACCATGTGATTCCAAAAAAGCCTAACAGACACAATAGCCAAAACAGACACTAAGAGCACACACAGTGCGCAGCAGCTGCCGACAGTTCACCGACAGTACTCCGTAGACATGGCGCCATACACTCCAGGATCTGCCGCTCCGTCACCAGCACAGTGAAATCACCACTTCCCCCAAAGGAGCTGTGGAACCCAACCCCCTCTCTCAAAACCCCAATAAATTGGAATCACCTGTATACATACTTCTACCATACTTGCGCATCTGGCGCGAAAAACGCATCCACCGGCGCCCAATCCCTCGCGATCGCCCAGGTGATTTGCTGATTTTGGTGACCATGTTCCACATCCTGATCCTGGCGCAATTCTTGATCGCCTCCAAGGCCCGGAAAGACGTGTGTGTGTGTGTGATTGTTTCTGGTGTTCTTTCGCGAAGAAAAACGACCGGCCAAAAACCAGGAAGAGTCCTGTCCTAGCAAGGAATAGCAAGCATGCATGGAAATCCACTCGGACCAGTTCATTCTCTGACGATCTTGGGTTAAATGTTGTTTCAATTGCAACATGGAGGAATGTTCGATGTGTTCTTTTTTCACCTTTAAACACCAACCGCTTTCAAGTGCCCGCTTTCAGGGGCAACCACGACTGGCTTTGTTGGTGAACACTTTGGAAATGGCCTTCCAAGACATCGTCCACTTGCTCCTCGCAGGGTATCCGGGGAGCAGGTCTGTTCTCGGCGGGCGGGCGGGCGCGGCGGGCCATCTCTCGGTGGGTCATGTGGGGGTGGAAGAAGGAGCAACTGAATGGTGGAGTTCACGGAGTGTTTGAGAGACATAATAGAGGTTTGTGGGGTGGGAATAGCTCCTATCAGAAGGAAAATGAGATTGATAGCTCAAGGGAGAGGTATATATAGTAAGTGGAAATTGGGATTTGGATGGATTTGGATTGTTTAAACAGCCTAAGCAAATCCTGCAAAAGCAAGCCAAAAACATGATGGTCACATCTCACCGTGGGTGTTCACGTTCGCCACCCGTGTTCGCCACGTGGTACGTCCCCCAACTCGTGTGCCAATCAAGTTAATCAAGCAGGGAACCCCCCTTTGTGGGGTGGCTTTGGGGGGTCTAATTAAGAGACTCTGAGACTGTTGAGATTTTTTCACCAACCTCCAGTTCAAAGGGGGGTTATTCATCCTGTTCCATCAATCCATCCTCACAAGGCACCCAAGAGAAGCACCGAATTTGACGACCACGGCTGGATTTGTTCCGCGGAATGTGTATTTGGCGCTGGATTAATGTGTCCCAGACACAATCTCAGCCCGGCATAAAGATGTTTATCTTTAGTTATCTTTATATATTAATATATGTTTAAACTTGAATTAAAGAAATTCAAAACATGTTCAATTCTTTATTTATCATGATTTGTGTGTCTTTTGATGATCAGCGTCAGCGACACATCCAAAGCAAGTAGAGCTATCGGCTCTCAGGCAACTCACGTTTCAAACCGTAACCGGGACGAACCGAACGACGAACCGCGACGAACCGACCGTTCGGTCCCGAGGTTCGTGGTTTTCCTCTTCATCTTCAGCGCTTTCGTCATTGCCGGGCACATCCTCTTCGGCTCCAAGCTCAAGGCGCGACACGACACGACAGAGGGAGGTTGTTCTCGTCGGGATTTTCCGTGGGTAGAGGATGGAAGAGGATGGTTTCAGTCGAAATAAAAAGGGAACACCGCAAGCAACTTATAAGGAACCAATAAGGAACCACATGTCAACAAAAATGTGTGGAGAGTGGACTGGCACTGCAGATAGATTGGCTACTGTGGTGGAGCCATTCTCAAGTAGCTGCAATATCATGTTAATGATGTGCGTATCGGTGTTTATCTTGTTGCAAGTGTAGTTTCCCCCATGTTCTCTCATACAAGTGTTTCTATCCTATAGGTACTTTTGTACTCTTTCTTGGCTGGCCTGTCTCCGCCATTTTCGCAAGACCAAAAAAGGCTCGCCACCCGCCGCCTACGGTTCAGCTCAGGACTTCTCCACGGTCTACGGTTCCTTCGCCAAGAGCCTGGAGCAGGCAGACCAGACCGGCGGTGGCGAGATTGCGGAACTGGAGCTAGATGAGATGTTTGGGAGAAGTTCAAACGACTTGGAACCGATGTTCCTTTTCTTGGGCGGGTTGAACACTTCCGTGTGAAGCCTCCAATCCATCATGAATCATGAATTGTGATCGGGTCGGAGGCTTCATGTTCAGATTCCTTTTGGTTCATCGACCTACACAACACGGGCGGCCCGCATGGCCCGCATGGTACTGCTCGGAGCATGGGGAAGCATGAGGCTCCGGGAGGCCCAAGGAACCACATCCATCACATCCGAAAGCGATGGTGGAGGACAAATTAATGTGTGTTTTCTGTTGCTTTTCGTACGCTTTGAGAAGTGTATTTTGGCAAGATCCATATTGAGCTTTGGGTGGCTCTACCAATCACAGGCATGGCTATAGTGTTTTTCAGTCCGGGATCCTTCCGGGATCGCGTCTTGGGGAGGATGAGACCGTCTTGTAGAAGGTGGCACGAAGGTCGGGTCGATGATTGGTTTGGAAGGTCATGTTTAACATAGTGACATATGTGACATAGCCCTAAGGCTACGCGGCTACATGCTGCTGTTCGGAGTTTGGACGAAAACTCAGACTCAAACCATTCAGGCGTTTCTCCTGGAGATATGGACGTGGAAGACAAGCCTTCCTGAACGTAGCCGGCCACACAGCCCTTTGTGACTTGAGGAATCCAAGTGTTTGAAGATATTACTATAGTAATAGTAGTATATACATATATAGTCAATGTTTCATTGGATAGTAGACATGATCCATTAATTTTTGAGATTCAGATCTTCCGCCAGAACCGGTGGATGATGATTAGGGAGGGTTATGGCATGTTCGCCCAGGTTTATAAAATGTTTGGTCTTTGGGCAGAGCTGCTTTGGGGAGGGTAGACTCCATAGGATTATCATGGTTACGTGGATGGGAACATTGCCCCAATTTCGGATGATGAACTGCTGAATACATCTGAATCCAAACAGCTGCTGGCTTCCATGATTTCGGGAGATTCAGAAGATCCGTGGTGAGCGCCTGTTTCAGGTGGTCTCGTTCAAGACTGACTGGGATGTGATTACTGAGCAGGAGTGGCGTTCGTTGGAGCATGTTGGAAGGAGTCGACTGACCCAAAATGAAGAGACCTTAGGCCCCACAAATGAAGGCCACATTTATTGACTTGCGTATTGCATGAAAACATATGAACATCATGAAGTATATACCATAATACTCAGCTCCAGCACCACCCAAAGGGTGCTTTATAGAACCCCCCTGACTATCTGTGTCCATCTAATACCCGAAGCTGGGTGGTGCTGGCTCCATGGTTCGTTTCGAACCGGAACGGACCCGCCACGACCGGGACACGCGGGTCTTCGGGACACGTGGGGGACACGTGGGGGGCACGCAAGTGTTTCTTTGTAGCCCGATGGTCACCAAGACCACACAAACCCCACCTCTTGAGGTTGGGACACAAGGAATCCTGAAACGATGGGGGTTTCACGGTTTCCACTGGTTGATCGGCTCATGCAAGTCATCAAATTCTTTCAGATCTGCTTCCGGTTTCCACGAAAAGCACCCGAAGATGTTCGTTGGGGACCTGAAGACGTCCGTTTGGGCGTGCCCCAAACCGGACTCTTTGGGAGCGGTGTTTCTTCCTTGGGGAGCAGCTAGAAAGCCAAAAACATCACCTGCTTTTTGCACAACTCATAGCAAAACTCTTCCACTTTGGTCAGTTCCCCATGTTTGCAATCACCTTGGCTTTTGTCCCACTATGAGGCCCTATGCATTCGTTCGGGTCTTCTGACGGTGCTTTTGGGTCCGGATCGGACATGAAGCGCCAGGACTGGTGGACGGCGGCCATTTGGGTTTGGTTGATGATCATCGTGGTCAGTCTGGTGGTGATCAACATTGCCTGCTGACTCGAAGCGGCGGCGACATCATGTGAGAGGTTGAGCTGTTTCTGAAGACCAACACATCTAGACGTCTAGACTCATATAGATGGGCATGAAATGGCATAACTCCATTGTAAAGGGCCAAATCGACCAACACCTGTGGTTTTAATTTCTTTGAGCCGCAGCAATAGGTTTTCCCCGTTTCAATTCAAGCAGATGTCCTGTACCGAACAAAGATTGGACCAATCCTTGCAGTGTTCAAGGAGAGGTTGTAGAGGTTCAACCATTGGATTTAGTTTAAGCGCACCTTTTTTACTGCGAGTGGTGTGCGAGATGTCCTGAAGGTGGCAGAAATGCTAAGGCCGGCCTGCCACCTTCAGGACCTTCATATAATATGGAAAGACATGGAAAGACATAAAAGTTGAAATATCCTGACACAGTGTGTCCTTATCAATCCACCCTCTATACTCTTTTTTGCAGAGGTCATGATGCTGCAAATCATCCATGCAAAGCCACGGATGGGATGGGGGATGGGTCAATCTCTCGCCCATGTTGGAGACTGACTGGACATGTCCTGGACTCGGATTCTCCAGCAACAGGCAACAAAAACTGACTGGTGCTTAGTAAAGAATGAGGGAATGGATCTTATGGTATCTATAGTGAGGGGTCATTCTCTCCGCGACTCTCATTCCCTTCTAAGCATCAGTCAGAAAAGGAGGGGTGTTCTTCCAATTGAACATACTATCCGGGCCCGTTGGAGCGAAGGAGCTGTTTTTGGACTGCGAAAAAGACCATGCAAACATGCAGTCACGCACCCAGTCAGTGGGCGTGACTGGTGCTTTTCCCTGGTGCCCCAATTGCGATGTTTATGATAGGTAACAACGGTATACCCAAGCTATTTAGATCTATTTAGCTATATGCTGATAAATCATGATAAAGATCTGGCTCTTGAACCCATTGCTGGATCTTGAACCCAATCGGCTTTATTCCTCTTCACCTGGGGTCATGTCCTTTCTCTGTTGAATATGGTTTTCATGAGCTAGACACTGGGAAAACTGTGACCCAGGACAAAAGCTGTTCGCCTGAGAAATTTAAGCAGGGCCCCTCTCGGAGGGTCTCAGAAGGTTTGGGAGCATCGAGATGTACCCGCAAATTCCCGCCAATTGCTTCTTTGCTTCTATACCTGAAGGACTCTCGTTCTTGGTGTTAGCTCCATTTACAGTGCGAAGGGCTGTTATTCTCTTCGCAGCCGCTGGAGCCCTCGTAGTAGTGCCCGGCCAGCCTCGCATGAATTCATGAATTCATCCTATGCCAGTCTGCAAGATCAGCATCTGCAGATTTTGCAGACTTTCAGAGCATCACAGAGACGTCATACAAAGGGGAAGCACCATCTTTGGAGAAGGTCTTGGCAAGTGACAATGCCAAACAGTTGCCGTCAGCACTGGAGACCTTGCTGGATCAAGGCATTCTTCTTGAGGATCGGAGCTTGACTCGTGCCGTCAGTTTCTTTGGTCGCTCAAGGCTCTGGCAGCATGCGCTCTACATCTTTGACCTGCTGCAGGCTCACCGTGTCACTAGCAACGTCATCACTTGCAATGCCGCTATGAGCTGTTTGGAGACGTGGCGGAGTTTGTTTCTGCCAAAAACAACATGCCTTCAACAACAACATGGAAGTGGAACTTGTTCTGATCCCTTTTTAGCCGTGAACAAGCATGTTCCTCTAGAAGCTGAGCACGTTCTGCTTCCATGCTCGTTGCAAGGGTATAGACCTAGGGCCCATCCCTGTTTGATAGTCTAGGCCCCAGAGCAACAATTGAAAATGTCTAGGTTTTATATGGTTTTATCATTTTAGCTTACATATCCGTTTTGAACACCCGAGTCCCAAGGAGAAGTGCTCTCAGTGGCAGCTGGCACTGCAATTCTTTCGGGACCGCTGTCGAAAGCATCTCATGCTGGACACCATCAGCTACAACACTGTGCTGAGCTCATGTGGTAAAGGACTGCAGTGGCAGACAGCTTTGCAAGTGATTCTCAGTGGCTGTTGGGTACGTTTCTTTTTCGTCCGTCTAAAATACACCAGCAAAGGATATACTAAACTATCGCGGGGATGCAGATGGGATGCAGGATGATGCAGGGTTTGACACATAATTTGGGACTGTTTCTTCAGACTGATTAATTCATCAAGGCTCCTCTCCATGGCTCGTGAAGGGATTCTACCCGATGTCATCAGCTACGCCACGGCCGGCAGCCTCTTCATTCAATCAAACCACTGGACCCTGGCCACTTCCCTTCTCACGCACCAATCCGTCTCCATCGATTTGATCGGCTTTAGCATGCTGATGAAATCCTGTGACGGTCCGCTGTGGCCATTGGCTATGAAGTTCTTCAGCATGATCACCGCTTCAGGCGATGGTGGCGGTTAGGGATCAACTCTGCAGGTTGTGACAGGACACCTTCAAACTGTCCATGCATCTCTGGACATGAAACCTTTTGCATCGTCTAAGTCTACCTCAATGCTTTCAACGCAATCTAGGAAGGAGTGTGCCATTCTAGTTGTCAAAATGTAAAACACTCTTATGCACAGACTCCAGACGAGGTTTTCTTTTCACTGTACCCCCCAACAAGCTGCCGATGTTGACGGCTGCCCGCAACATTGCAGGCCTTGTCCCAACGGCCGCCATCTACACGGTGGCGATGAGCAGCTTAGACAACTCCGCCTGGCTTAAAGCAGTGAGGCTGCTGCAGCAGATGGCCTTTGTGCGGTTGCTTGGGCTGAGACGATGTGGATGTCAAAAGTACCTCATACCTCGATAAAACAATAATGGGATTGGTGAAGAGACCAGGAAGACTGCTTAGGATGATGTTTCGGGCGACTTTTTTCCACGGCGACGTGGTCGGCGAAGTGACTACCCACACCCCAAGAAGGTCTTGAAATTGCGCCCAAGCCGAGGAATCTGGACACCGCTGGAATCGAGACCTCATCAGGATCTCAACCAACTCTCTGAGCTGGGGAGGAATCCTCAAGACTATATAGTCAGATCCCCAAATAATAGAAAAGTCCCCTTTCAACATGCTTGGAAACCATTTCTACTCTACTGACCGGTATCTATTTAGGGACCACCGTATAGATACTAGAGATTGAAAAGAAAGACTACCCTTGGCTTTGAGGCTGAGTGGCGGAGATTGGACCCTGACCCCAACCCCCAAAAAGGTGACTCATCCAACTCATCAAAATGGTTGGCTTCAGTCCCTACCTGCCCATGTTCAGTCCCCAGCACCTCTAGTCTAGATCAATGAATCAAAGATACTAGAAATTATCCTCAGTCCTTGCCCACGAAAAACAACAAACTCCACCCAGTTGGCTTCTCAGGAAGCACTTGGAAACTCAACAGGAGTCTCAACGGGTATATGGACTGGAGTCATTTAGAGTCTCCTTTTGGTATCCTCCTCTTTAGATCGGCAGTGAGGTTGCAGTCCGAGAGCTCAAGCATCACCAGCAGCTCGGAGCTGACCAGGACTCCCTGGTCTCCCAGAAACAGGGCCATGCCATCCGTAGCCGTAGCCATGATAGTTTCAGTGAGTGTAGCCTTTTCTCCAAGGGGAATTTGTTTCACACAAGCGGGGCTTGGAAGATGTTTTGTCACCAGGACCATCGTTGTGTTTTGTCGACCGTGTCCTTGGTTGTTGTGTCTAACCCGTGGACCAAAAATGACGTAGACTAGACGTTACTAGAGTCTAAGACCCCAAACGCAGACATGTTTTTTCAGGTGGAGACCTTCGACCCGTGGACTATATAACAAGACTAGACGTCTAAGAGTCTAAGACCCCTAACGCAGACATTGGTCCCAGGTGGAGATGAATCTTCGTTTGGATGCGGTTTTGGTTTAACCGTACTCCTCATAGTGAGAGCCTAGTTGGGCGGCCCAGAGGGTCGAAGATGATGGAGGGAATCGTTGGATGGCCATGTTGAGAGGGGTCTTGTGTCCAAGACGTCCTTTGCAAGACCAGGGCTGGACTCCACTTCCATGTTGGGACGGCCAATGAATCTGAAAGCCATTTTCATCCCCAAACGAAGGGTTTCCTGTAGATTGTCTAGATGTTCCATGATTCTCCCTCAAGCCAATTCCTCGAAAAAAGGAAATAATCTCGCCAAGGGTTGCAGAAAAAGCCTCTGAGGTTTCCTCAGTTGCTTGGACTCGCGATGGGAGACCGCCCTCCAGAGCCTCAGCATGGTCGGGCAGCAGCAACTCCAGGTGAACTCAATCCTCATTAATGCTGCCATGAGTTCCTAGGCACCCCAAATCAGATGGTCGCCTTCACTGCTGAGGCACAGCTGTCAGCACCCAATTGGTTTGTGTGGACGGTGTCAGAGAGACCCGTCAAACCACCAGGCGAGAATTTCAAGATTGGTCGTAAGACGTCAGAATCTACGAGAAGACGTCAGATGCTTGACCACCCAAGATTGAGTTTATTACAGCTAAACACGGATGGAATCTCAGCTTGCGTTTGGGTGTACAAAAATGGTATAGTGTGAAGTCTTGAGAACATGAAACAAAGCTTGCATTATCCAAGGGCTTTTGGGAGCCCAAGGCTTTTCAAGACAGGTTCTTGTACTTAACATCAAGTGAATCAATGACGTACTCTTGAGGATCCATCCCAAAAGAAACAAAAAGAATTGGCTGCGACTTCCAAAGCCTAAACACAAACTCTGTGACGGGCTCACCACGGTTCGCAAGCTTGCCATCGATATGTAAAGTCTGACAATAAATACGCTCTGTTAGGGTTCAACACTGAGCTGGCACAGACCCACTGACAGCCTGAAAATGCCGAAATGCAGAGTGCAACGTCCGCAACAACATTTTTCAGGTTCCAATGAGAAAGCCTTTGACTGGCCGCATGCTTTGCATCTCTACGAGATGTTGCAGCGTCAATCGATGGCAGATTTGATCAGCTACAACACGGCGATCAGCGCCTGCAGTGTCCAATGGACGAAAGCAGTGCAGCTCTTTGGTATGATG